GCCAACAACCACCACCACCACAACACCACCACCCCACCACCACCACCACAACCCACCACCACTACAACCACCACCAACACCACCACCGTAACCCACCACCACCACCACTACCACCACCACCACCGGAAACCACCGTTCAACCACCACCACCGCCACTACCACCACCACCACCACAACTTGCCACCACAACCACCACCGCCACCACCACCGCCACCACCACCACCACCAACCACCACACCACCACCACCAACCACCACCTCCACCACCAGCACCACCACCACCGCCACAACCACCACCACCACCACCCCAGCCCACCACCACCACCACCACCACAACAGACCACCACCAACACCGCCACAAAATCCACCACTACCACCACCTCCACCACAACCCACCACCACTACAACCACCACCAGCACCACCACCGCCACGACAAACCACCAGACCACCGCCACCACCGTAACCAACCACCACCACCACCACCACTACCACTACCACAACCGGAAACCACCACCACCGCCACTACCACCACCACCACAACTTGCCACCACAACCACCACAACAACCACCACCGCCACCACCACCACCAACCACCACACCACCATCACCAACCACCACCTCCACCACCATCACCACCACCACCGCCACAACCACCACCACCACCCCAGCCCACCAGCACAACCACCACCACCACCACCTCCACCTCAGAGAGGCCCCAAGAGACGCCCAAGAGGCGCCCAGGAGGCTTCACAGATGCTCTTCAGAGGCCCCCGAGAACTCTCCGTCGAGACCCCAAGAGGCATCCAGTAGGACTCTGACCCAAAACCAAGGCACGGTGGCGGAGCGTCGTCGTCGGCGTCGTCGTCATCGTCGTCGCCGTCGTCCTCGTCGACTCTCCCCGCCACGGCCGCCCGCCGCCGCAGGCGCCGTCGCCCCCGCCGTCGCCGTCAGCCGCCGCCGACGCAGGCGCCAGCCCGAGGAGAGGGAGAGAGGAGAAGTAGGGGAGGGGGGGGGAGTGGGGGGGTCTGGTTCCCCCCCCCCTCTCCAAGCGACCACAAAACGTGCCCTTTCCTACCTCCCTCCCCAGATCAGTCTCGCACACTCTCGGTTTGCCCGATCCTATCCAGTGTTGTGTACAAGCATCTGTACACAAATTTTAGTTGTTTAAGTTGAGTCATAGTGGAATGTATCGATGTCGGGATATGAAATCTGTCCTCTGTGTCGTTTTTTTTTTTTTGTTGTCTCTCTCTCTCTCTCGTTCTTTCTCCCCCTCTCCTCTAGTACATACATACAACACACGTATCACTGACATGATGTGTGTGCGTGTTGTCAATTGCTGTATTTTTGGTGCCTCTCTCTGCCTCTCTCGTTTTTTTGTTGTTCTTCTCTCTCTTGTTCCCTCCTTTGGATCACTCTGGTCTGGGCGGCGGCGCGCACCAGGGGTGGCGCGAGGGGGGCGACCTTCTGAGAAGGCGGCGGGACTAGAACAGCCGGGACACTTTTAAGAAGGCTCCTCAGAAGACGGGAGGCCTGTCTAAGAAATGCCACTCCTTCCGAGAAACACCCCGCCTTCTCAGAAAGTCATCCCCCTCGCGAGCGCGCGGCCTCCTCCTCGTCCTCCTCCTCCTCCTCCTCCTCCTCCTCCTCCTCGTGGGCACCCATGTCCAGGGCCATGTCCAATCGGCCCCGAGATGGCCTCGGTGCTGGCCCAGGGCGGCCCTCGATGGTTTTCTCTCTTCTCCTGCTGCTGCTGCTACTGCTGCTCATGCCGCTGTCTTGTGGCCGTATTGGCAGCTGCTCGAGGCCCTCGTCGCTTCTGCTTCTGCTTCTGCTCCCCCTCCTCTCCTCCTCTTGCTCCCCCTCCTCGTACTCCTCTGGGCTGGAGCTGTCTATGCTTCACGCCCCCTGGTGTCGTCTCATCGAGGAGCTTTCGTGGACTGCCTGATTCGACTCGACTTCCTCCTCGTCCTCCTCCTCCTCCTCCTGCTCCTTCTCCTCCTCCTCCTCCTCCTCGGCCTCCTCCTCCTCCTCCTCCTCCTCCTCGGCCGCCTCCTCGGCCTCCTCCTCTCCTCCTCTTCCTCCCCCTCCTCCTCCTCCCCCTCCTCCTCCTTCTCCTCTTCCTCCTCCTCCTCCTCCTCCTCCTCCACGTCCAAATGCTGATCGATACTCCTCTAGGGGAGTCGGCTGGGGACGCACGGTGCGCCACTAAGGGTGTGCGATGCCACATCCGAAAAGCACCCCAGCCGAGCCCCCAGAGGAGTGAGCAGCGGGGCGACAGTGGCAAGGGGCCAACACATATGCTGGCCTCCAGGAAAACTGCCTGGCGGCAATGCCGGCGGTCCTGCTTTCTTTCCACACATGCGCACTTGAGGTACCGACCTCCAGGATACAACCCCGTGGCTACGCAGGCGGTCCTGTTTACCCTCCACACGTGCGCGCAAGAGGCACTCACATTGGAGTCGCAACCTGGAAACTAGCTAGGCGGGGCTGAACGTATACTCTAGTATTGAGGCATCGGACCCCAGGACGCAGACTGGCGGCAATGCCGGCGGTCCTGTGCTTCTCTCCACGCTCGCACACCTGAGGTACTGATTTCCAGGACACAGCTCGGCGGCAATGCTGGCGGTCGTGCTTCCACTCCACACATGCGCGCACACCAGAGGTACCAATCTCCAGGACACAGCCCGGCGGAAACGCTGGCGGTCCTGTCAACCCTCCGCACGCGCAATCAAATTCAGGTCACAACCTGGTGACTAGGACAGCGGGCCTGAACATATACCGCATTCACTAAGAATCGACCTCCAGGACACAGACTGGTGGCAATTCGTAAGATCCTGTGCACTCTCTTCACACTCGCACACGTGAGGTACTGAGCTCCAGGACAGTCCAGCGGAAATGCTGGCGGTCCTGCCTCCACTTGCCCAGAAGAGGTACGGCCCCACAGCACCGCCACTGTGCCTCCACGAGGCTCGTTGGTGTGGCGGGAGCTGGGATGCCCACCCTTGGCTATGAACAGGAGTTGGCACCAATATAGTTCGCAACTTTTTATGGCGCCTAACAAAGCTCAACATCTGTAGGCTTACCCTGGGGCCCTATAGGGTTCCGGCCTCCTACAGAATTCCGGTCTGAGTCAGTTAGTTCACCATGGCGCCCTCTAGAGCTGCAACTCTATGGTTCTCACCCTGGATTTCTACAAGGTTCCCGCCCGGTACAGCATCCATTCGTGGCCTTTCCCCCTTCCTCCTCCCACGAACGCCGACCGTTCCCCTCCAGAACAGTTCTCCTTTCCTGCCCACACCCCATGCAAGAAGAGGGGGAGACGTGGATGCCCGCACGCCGCCTTGGCGAGTAAACCGGGAGCGGTGGCCCTGCAGGGCGGAAGCTGGGGTCCACAATCTGCCAATCCCCTCGCGAAACAGGGCACGTGCCGCCGCGCCTCCGCAAATGGTCGCTGCCCGCAGAGCGGTGGCACCGTCGGGCTCTTGGCCCCGCCGCCTGGGAGCAGAGGAGGTGCCCTCCACCCGCCCCCCCTCCGCCATGCCTCGGTCCGGTGCGCCTGCCAGCTATGTCCGAGATGGGGCTTCGCCTCCTCTCGATCGCACCTCCCACGCAGAGCCCAGGGCGTGTTCGCGCTGCTGCCCGCGCGCGGCTGACGCCACTGCGTGCGTGCCCCCCTCAGCCGCTCATGCTCTGGTGTTGTTCCCGTGTCTCTTCACTGCCCACCCTTCCGCCTCCCACGCCCCCGCTCGGCGCCGCACGGCAACTCCTGCCCCCTGCCCCCCCCCCCCGCCGCTCCTCCCCCTCCCTCCCCTCCGCCGCCGCCGCCGCCGGCTGCCGAGGCGGCGGCTGACGCCGCAGACCGCGTGGGGAGCCACGTGTGGGCATGGAAGCGCACAGGGCTGGACCTAAACGGTGTTTTTCGCTTCCTTTTTGTTTTCGTTGTTCTTCGTTTTGTCTTCAATCCGCCTTTAACGCAAAACGAGGTCGAAACGAAAACGGCTCACCCACCCCATGGAAGCTCACCCGTTGGGCAGGTCAGCGCCGCCTTCTGTTTGCCAAAGGCACGCCCCTGCAGGGGGGGTACAAGGCTCCCTTCGCCGCCCTGATCTCCAACTCCCCGAAGCCACACGCTGCACGTCTCCACTTGCGCTTCAGGAACCATCTTCGGATGCAGCAGCTCTGGAGCTTCTTCTGAACCGGGGGCGCATGGGTCGGGGCGAATCAATCACCAAGGCCCGTGCATTTATCACTATACGAAAGCTCGGATTTTGGTACTTTCCGAGTCCGGGGCATAAGCTCTCCTCAGCGATGGTGCGAAAGAGCAGACGGAGACCGCCTCCGCTGGAACGCACCCGCAACTCTGGCACGAAGCCAGCGGAAACCGTGACAACCCCTTCTTCCCCAATGCCCTTGCCTTCTGTTGAACCCCTCACTCGTCCTTTTCTGTCCCCCATCCCGTTCCCGGTCGTCTTGTGCGCTCCCCACCTCGAATGTGTGACGTCTGGTGATGGTTCGTGGTAGCATTATCTACAACCGTGCCACCATGCACCGCAGAGCAAGCACACCCGAGGATTTATCAACTCAGGGCTGTGTTCCGTCGGGCCACTGTGTCCTTCAAGGTGGTGACGCCAAGGAACTTGGCCCACTAACGGGGTGAAGGCGTCCCAGTGTCACATTACTTCCAGTCCTCCTCCTCCTCCTCCTCCTCCTCCTCTCTTCTCCTCCTAGTCCGAAGCTGGCGTCGGCGTCCTGCTTGTTGGCGAGCACCTGCTCGGCGAGCTCGGCCACGAGATCCTGGCCCTCTTGCCTTTGGGGAGGGGCGGCCGACCCCATTCGGAGGGGCAGAACGGAAGGGGCCCACGATGGAATGCGAGGACGACCACGATATCCACGAGGAGATCCGCGAGGAGGAGGGGCAGGACACGGAGGAGGAGGAGGAGGAGGTCCAGCGAGCGAGCGAGCGAACAAGCAGAAAGGCGTCCGAGGTCACGGGCGCCCACTGCACGTGGGACCCGAAGGCCGCGGGGCGGCGGAGAAGGCGAAAACCTGAGAGAGGGCCGGGCGACTCGAGAAAATCACGCCCAAAAACCTCTCGGCGCACAAACAGGAGCCTAACCGCGCGGGGCGAAGGACGGGGCAGCCCGTCGATCTATAGCCGTGAGCTGGTTGAGGCGCGTCGAGGAGTTATCTGACAGACCAAGGCACTGAGACCGCAACTCACGGGCGGACCTGCAATATTCGAACCCGTTGAAATTGCCACCGCTCCTGTGGCAGCAGAGAACCGAATTCACGCAGAAGGCATCACGCCCCGGTTCAGCGAGCTCGGCGAGCTCTGAGGGGGGAACGCCGACCGGCACCTCCGAAGCCCTGCGAAGCTCCAGCGGCGGGGGAATGCCCGACCCAAGGCCCGCGGAGGGCTCAGGGCCGAGAGTGGGCCCCAGAAGCCGACCAACATTCTCAGTGGCAGCCGCGACCCTGGCATCTACGGGCCTGTCCACGGCCTCACTGCCTCACTGCTGCGCGCGAAGAAATCCTCTGTCAGCCAGCTAACAACATTCGAAAGGTCACGCGCCCGATCCGAATGCCTCAACGTGGCCAGCGAACTCGGACCGCGGGCGGCGCGATTACAACGATGGCGGCGGTGCTCTTCAACCTTTGGCAGCACAAGAGTTGGTGGTCTTGGGGCCTCTCGAAGACAACGCGTTTAGGTACCGCCAAAAACTCAGGATCCTCCTCGGGGGCGGTGGAGTCCACTCCGCACTTCTGGAACTGCACAACCTGAACCACAGCTCAGGATGCATAATGCAAAACCTGCCTGTGCTGATTGAGCGTCTGAGAGCTGTGCGTAGCCCGCATAGCTCTTAGCGGAAGAGGTTCGCTCTCGCCCCGCCGACCCCCCAAAAAACTGTGCTGATTGAGCGCCTGAGTGACGTTGCGCGCTATTTTTTTGCCGCCGCGTGCGAGGCGGATCCCAGCTTCGCGAGGTAGTCGGCACAGGCCCGAGCCAGGACTCCAGCTCCTCGGCCAGCACCTCGGGCGGCAAGCCGTCCAGGCGCCGATGGACGGGGGCCCACTGAAAGCGCGCTGGGGGCAGCCGAGGATCGCGGCCTTGTGCCGCGGGGGACATTTCCAGCCAAACTCGAACGTGCTTCGTTGTGCCTTGCTCTAGTCTCGGGTTCCAGGAGGCACCTTCGCGGGCCAGGGATTCCAAGTCGGATGTGAGAAGCTCATGCCCAGGATGTCTCTGGGTGCCCATCTTGATGGCAGATCGTTCAACGCGTCCAACGGTCTGAACAGCATGCGGAAGAGGCCCATATAAAGCTCTGACAGGGAGCGGGGTCCAGCTGGCAGACCGACCACCCGCACCTACGAACGTCAAGCGCACTGGCCGAGAAACCATACCTGTCGGCGTACGACTTAGAGCCCAATGAGCCCGAAACGTCTCCCTACTCGTAGACCTCCAAGGAAACCGTGTTGAAGTGCGGCACGCCCACGGGCGCTTCGGGGACCCCGTAGATGTGGTACCGCGTGTCCTAATCAGACTGCCCAAACTGCTGCCCAGACACCGTCAGACACCCGAAGCCTGTCCCGAACCTCTTGGAGCTGCCATGGGGAACTCAGTCGGGGTCCCCTTCTAGCAACGGTTGACAATCGTAAAATATGTGGCCTCAGCCGGGGCCGCTTTGCCTGCCGCAAGCTTTGCATTACCTCAACGGCCAGCCTAGCTTCATGTCCCGTCTGAGTGGGATGGGTACATCGTCCGCCCACAAAGCCTGGAGCACACCCAAGCGCCTTGGGCACTTGATCTTGGGACTGCATGGCGAAGGGCACGATGCCATGCATCCACTTCCTTGGTATAACAGTACTGCTGGAGCCTGGTGCCCTGATGCAAACAGACATGCGAATCAGTTGGACAAGCGCGATAGAAATCAAAACAATTTCCACGCTCGTCGACGAGGATACGCTCCGAACCCGTAGTCCAAGATATACGCCGAAGGGTGAGCCAGGTGGCCCCAAGGGGCGCACGTGCCTGAGACCAAGAAGTCGAACGGCCAAATTCTCCACCCAATCGAACCCATGCACTTCGGAACCTACTAGGTTGAACTCTCCCGTCCCTTAACCGCGCCAGGTAATTAAGGACGAAATCGGTAGTGGAGTTCGATACTGGGTCGTAACATTCGCCTGTATGATCTATCATATCTGACATCGCACCAACCATAGTCTGACCAGGAGCACCATTCATAATAGCAGCAACATGTCGCAGCTCACGAAGTGCACTATCACTACTTCCAACAACTGCAGCACCGTGCGCCTCTGATGGAAAGGCGCCTGCGCGCCACAGGCTGGTGGCCGTCCTTCGGACAGCCAACTTCAACATGTGAAGCGGATGTTTACGTTCCCGAAATTGCCGAAACCTGCGCTTCTCCGTGTGACGCATTACTCTGGGCCACGTGAGCTCGTGCCCGAGGTTCCTCATGTGGGGCCTTTACGGGGTCTTCAGGGCGCCGAAGTCCCCTTGAGGTTCAAGCAGACTTTCATGGACCCCGGGATGCATCCCGACTTGGGAGGCTTCAGGACCATCCCAACATCACCAACATCAGACGTGAAAGCTTTGGCTGCCAAAGCCAACCTGGCCACTTCAACCAACACAAGAGAAACATGCTGCAAACCTGCATCACCCATGAGCTTGCGCGGCGTGACCGTGAGCGCAATAATGGCAGCATGCTGTACTTCACGGTACGTCAACACATATGGTGCGTGCGTGCACCCCGCCAATATCCCCTGGTGGGCAGCAAAGGCCAGAAACACACTCCCAAAGGCTCTGATGCGGCGCCTACGTTGCCGATAGCTGCCCGACACCAAGCAATAGGAGCCTCATGGGGTACCTGAGCTCGCGTGCCTCACGGAGACGTGCACTGTGACTGACCATGTCGAAGCAATTAGTCGTGTGAAGAAGGATGGTACACGTATGTTCTCTTAAGAGCTCTACAATCCCTGGCTGCAAGTTGTGGTCGAACACCGAGTCCGAAGATGCCTGGCGTGCCCTGGAGCCCCAAATGATGTCACAATGATGTTCCTCTTGCCATGCAGCCGACAGAAGCCTCCTGAGCCTACCCCAAAGCCTGACGAACGTACTACTCACGCAAGCAATATAGTGTCGCCGTACGGTTTCGGCAACCCGACGAGCTCGCTATACAGGCGATTCGTCGCCCAGGCCAGCCAGTACTCAAACTGCATGAACATATCGGCGAGGCTCAGCAAAACCTCGTTGGACAAAACATCCAAGGTACGCGGGACTATCCTTGACTGGCCAGGAGCGGGCCTTAAAGGAAAACTTCGGGTCGCCTCGCGAACCTGCTGGCATGTGAGAGGCGGCAAGGTAGGCCACTGAACATGAGCTGAAAATAGAAGCAACGGCACCACTTTGTGATAAGTCCACACATCACGCCAGGAATCCAAACCCTGTCCGCCAGCTTAAAAGGCTGCGCATCTGGAGCATAAGACAGCACCTTTTGTCGGAGGTGGAGGAGGAGCAGAAGGAGAAGGATGAGGAAGAGGCGGAGGAGGATGAGAAGGATGATGAGGATGAGGATGAGGATGAGGATGAGGATGATGATGATGATGATGATGATGATGATGATGACGAGGAGGAGGAGGAGGAGGAGGAGGAGGAGGAGGATCGGGGGTCCCAAAACGGTGCGGAGACAGACCGCGTGGTGGCCTCGAAATACCCAAAGACCTCACCGCACGGCCAATCACCGCACGGTTTTGGGACCTCGGAGGCCCCAGGCGCCCGAGACATCCTCGGAGATCGATCCAAGTCCCAACGCCGTGCGGTCGACTGGAATCCCCGCTGGCTCACCACACGGTGTGGTCACCGCAACCTTTGAGGGCCCCCGAAGTGCAGAGGATATCCCAGAAGGGGGGAGGGATCACGGGGTTACAACCTCAGTCAGACGTGGCGCATACCTGAATTTGCCGGAGGGATCGGAGGGAGGAGGAGGTGCGGGAGCGGTCCTGGATGTCGACCTCGCTGTCGTGGTGGGGCGGCGTCGGGAGGAGGGCGCGCGCGCGCGAGGCGGCGCTACAGGGAGGCTGGCTGGCCGGCGCCCTCCCGGCGGAGCAGGCGTGCGGAGGCCCCGGGCGTGGTCGCCTCGCAGCGGAGGGGGGCGGCGCTGGCCCCGGGTGGCGAGTGGCTGGTGGCCCTGCCGCGACCAGGGGAGGGCCCTGCCGCAGCGCAGATCGCGAGTGGCGGCCAGACGAGAGACGTGGCCTCGCCGTCCTGAGGGGGGCGAGAACCAAGCAGGGCCGCAGACTAACGATGAGCCGTACGATTTGCCAAAAGATTGGGGCTGTGCCCAGCTCCCCAACAGCTGCCCTTGTCGGCGCACGGCGAAGGGACGCAAGCGCGAGGCTCCGGCAATGGAGGGGCGAGCCACCCCCTGGAGGAGGAGCGCCCCAGACTGGGCTCGCATCCGAGCACGACCCGACCCCCACACCACCCAACGATCGCTGGAGGCAGGGAGGGCAAGAAGGCGAGCCAGGAGGAATGCCGGATAGACTATCGTCACTCGTGATCCCGCGCGCCCCAACAGACAACGACCGACCCCTCGATCCCCTGCGCCAGCGACACCGCCTGCGGGCAGCCCGGCTCGCCGCGCTGGGCCCTGGGGATGACCTGGGCCGCGGCCTCGCGGGAAGGCGGCTCGGGAGGGCCACGAGCCGCTCAGGACGCGGACCGGCCGCTCGTGGCCCTGTCGCAGCTGTCCAGGGCATGGTGGCCTCCTCGACGAGGGACGCGCACACACAGCTCTGGAGGCAGGCAGGGGGTATGGTATAAAAAGGGGTGTGGTGCTAACTTTATGTAAAAAGCAGATGGCATCGCCATTTCCACGATCGACGCCAAACCCCTTATTCCACACCCCTTTCCGACCTCCAGAACAGACACACACCTGCCGCTTCGCCTGCCGGGCGGGCCGCGGGCCCTTGAGCGGAGTGG